AATAAATATTTTTAAGTTAGGCCCTCATTCATAATTATTTTCAAATTTGGGCCCCGATATGTAATTTCCCCTAAAATAAATAATGATAAATAAATAATAAATAAAAATAAACAAAGAAATAAAGGTAAAAAATAAAAAAGTAGAATTTGCAACCGCTTATTACGAAACAAATGTTACTAGTTTAATTCGAAATCAGACCATTATCTGAATCATTTTAATAAATCAAATTTGCAGTCTTGTGACTGTTTTCGTGTAATAAGACAAACAATGAAAGTTTGCTGCAATGCATACTTAATCTTTTTTCCTAACATTAAGTCTGAAACAAAAAAATGTGCATAAGTACCAATCTTATCAAAATATCCATGGATATGGAATCCTTTAGAACTAATTATGTACAGTGCTCCATTCCACTAATTTAAAAATTCTCTAAAATAGATATGAAAATTATTCAGGGGTTTATGAATCTCCTTGAAACTAGGATGCGACATAAAATAGTGTTGAATATCAAAATTTGGAATACTCGTATCTATGTAACTAAGCATTTATTCGCACGTAGATAGTATATTACAGTATATTATATCAGTTTATTTATTAACTAAACTTTCTATCATACTTGGCAATTTAAACATGAATTTTTTAAAGAAAATATTCTTAACATCCATCTTTACCTTATTATTTATTTTTCTGGCTGATAGTCAGTTTACACCCAAACCTCGATACCTTCAAACTAGTGTTTTGCTTAACAATACAAAATGGTACTTCTTTGGTGGTGCTTTAGGAGGCACTGATGACGTTGATGATGTAGTATATCTTGAATTATCAAATTTATTTAATTTGACTTCATTTCAATGGAATTCAGCTCAAGATTGCCCTGTGGAGTCAGTATTTAGCTCTTCGTGCATTTCAATTGATAATTCATCAATTTTTTTAATCGGGGGAGAGATGTATATTCCAAAAACGAATATTTCTATTCCACCTCCGCATATATACATGTTTAACTTAAGCAATTCAAATTGGACAATACCAACAATTACTGGATTAAACGACTTCGTAGGATGTGGTGGACTTCAAGCCATTAATATTGGAGGGAAAACATTTATATTTGGAGGAATGAAAAATATTCTTACTAATGCGACATTTTGTAATATAATGAGCATTCTTGACATGAATAGCATGTCATGGTCGACTTTTAATCTTACTGTTAAAGCAAGGACAGGTTATACTGCAACTTTACTTAGAAATGGAACTATTATTTATATTGGTGGACGAGCGACCGTTGAATATAATAGTTATATTAGCATGAACGAGGTTATAATAATAATTTTGTTGTTACACATCTATAATAAATGTACTGTATATTTGGTATTTATCATCGTTGCATTTATTCGCAATTCCAGATTCAAACATTTGATACAAATTCATTCATCTGGTATGATATGGTAAGCTATGAATATATAAGATATTATAATTAACGGAAATACAATAAATATTTACATACACGTACAAATTCAGATTGCCGCTGGTGATACGATCGGAGAACGTGGATTTCATTCCGCTGTTTTAGGTGCGTTATATTTATTTAAAAAAAACTATAAATGAAATTGAATGTAATTTAACAATTTTTATATTAGTTAATGATTCAAAGATTATTATATATGGAGGCTCAACAACAAATACAGGGATCGTCGCAACTCCTGAACTCGCAGCATTGGACATAAATACCATTCCATTTAATTGGATAGCTCTAAATGTCTCTTCAGATAGTGCTGCGCCGTCTAAATCACTATCACTTACAGGACATTCTGCAACACTATATGATAACTTTATGATCATCGTGTTTGGTAATTATAAAATTATTTTGTAATGTCTTATAGTTCAATTACTATCTATTTATTTATTATACTTATATGTTTGTTTATTTTTATGTTTGTTTATTTTTATTTTTTTTATTTTATTTTATTTTTTTAGGCAGGTATACCATTCAAAATCAAGAAAGTTTAAGTAATAATGTTTACATTCTTGATACGCAGAGTTACGAATGGGTATCATCATTGAATAGGAGCAATGATCAACAAACTTACATTAACTCTTCTAATGCAATCATTATTACCGTTAGTGTCGTGTGTGCTGTAGCATTTATTGTAGTTTGTATTGTAGGTTTTATTTTGTATCGAAAAAAACGTAATGTAGCTCTAGGTGATAACGATGGGGATACTATTGGTTTAAATGTTATACAGTAATACATTACAGACATGAAAATATTTCCAATTCAGATTTATACTGTACAAGCAGTACGTATGTACGTACGTACCAGATTTTTTCCGTTTAATTATGGTGTAAATGCATTACACCTAGGGATGGTGAATGACTTGAAATGACCCAAATGACTAGTGACCAGCCATTTGGCCATTTCACGTTCAAATGACTATAGAAGATCATTTAACATTTGTTAATTGATAATCTACCGCCTTTCGGCCAATCAAATTTGATTATTAGATATACTGGTAAAGAAATTTTTATAAAATATTATCGATAATCGTAGCTACATATAAAAGTCAAAATTTACAAAGTTAATCGGTCTAAATTTCTAAACAACTTTACTGAAGATGTAAATATTGATTAACCTAGTAAAATTTTGACTTTGTGTAGCTACGATCATTGCTCAGCATTTGATAACTTTTTATATTGGCTATCCGACCAATAAAATTACTTCATGTATAAATGACCTAATGACCCAAATAACTAGGTCATTTACTCAAATGACTTGATAATTTAAATTTTGAGTAAATGACCTGGTCATTTACCATCTGATTATACATAAATAGTATTTTAAAATTAATCTACATTAGGCCACACAAAGTTAATTTTTCGTTTTGCATTACCCGCAGACCCATTTTTTCAATTTTTCGAATATATATATATATATATATTTAGGTTACAATTGTGCCAATTGTTCTATTTTTGCCATTTAATTTTTCCGATAAATTATTCCGGTATCACCCGATAGAGACCTTATTTTCCGGAATTGCCGATAGAACTGATAAAAAAAAATTTGATTGCCGGCCCAATTTTTTGATTCCATGTTATGTAAAGCGAAAAATTAACTATGCGTGACCTTAAATGTGAATATGAGTCTATTATTTACTGTAG